GGTTAGTTTGTAAACTGCTGAAGCATCTTGTAAGCAACCCCGTCCTCTGCTGGGTTACTGCGTGTGTGACCTGGCTTCAGTCTGGAGGAATAGAGCAAAATACTGTAGATGCTGGAAAGCTGAAATAAAAACAGAAGTTGCTCGGAACTCTCAGCAGGTCAGGCAGCATCTATGGAGAGAGGAAAGTGAGTTAATGTTTCAGGTCGCTAACCTTTCATCAGTCGGGAGGATGCTAGCAGTGCGCACTTTGTGGCGCGTCGCTCGCCACGAAGTGAGCACATCGAACAATAGCTCAAGCCCGAACTTGTCAGCTTTCTAATGTCTAACACGGGAAGTTCCTACTGGGAGGGGGAAGAGAGGTGAAGGTTAGTGCTCTCAACCGCACTGGTCTTTACCCCCTGAAGCCTTCAGTAAAACGGTGAACTCAGTGACACAATACCTGAGGCAGGCAGGTCTGCAGTATTCCAGCGCAATGTTGATGATTAACCAGCCAGTCTGGCTTGTCAATGGGACTTGGGAGGGTGTGGACATTCTACAGATGTAGTGAAGGGATTCAGGGCAGCAACAGCCACAGGTGGCCATTGTTGTCGCCATTTCTATTAGTAAAACCATCTTCAAAATGGACTTTGAGAGACTGAAAATCATTGGGGCCACTTATTTAAAGCACCTCTGATGTACAGTTATCAGTAATAATTCCACTAACAGTCCTTGTATTTGGTGTATCACTTTGTCGAGACGGCTCAAAGCGCTTCACGGGATTTTACTGCCAGGTGTGGCGAGTGAATGTTTATCGGGGAACGTGCACACCAGTTTGTGCCCAGCGATGACCTGCAAACAGCCAGGAAGCGAGTGACCAATCTTAGCGAGATTGGAAGTTCTCCATACTGGCTGTCCAGCTTGGTCTGTTTTTCCACATTGTCACTATGGACACATGTATACACATTGCAGCTTGCTATGTGACATGCTCTGTGATGGACGCCTCAGGTAAATCCGCATCCTGTATCAATGTAAAACTGTTCTTTTTAGTTGTAGCTCTCCCGAGACACTGCCCCGTTTGAAAAGCGCTGCATGATTCCAAATTGTTGTAGTATTCAGATGCATTTTACCACAAGTTCTTACCCCCTCTGGGAAGTTCTGTGGCAATTAACACCTCACGAGAGAGGGGGGAATTTTAAGTCAGGGGATTCCTTCACGTCAGGAACAAAAGGACTTTTGAGTAGTGTGTCGTGCCGAGCGAGGCTGGTTCTGACCTGGGTTTGATTTTGATGGGTCCAGGATTCGTTCAAAAACTCGACTCGCCTTAAAAAAAAACCCTGAAATAATGACCGGTCGGGCTCGTTACTTGCTAATCATTAGCAAGCTTTCATTCCGCTTTGTTTTGTCTCATGTGGTCAGAGGCTGTGGCGTGGGTTGATTCATGAAACTGACATTGAATCACCGAAGAGCATCTTTGCATGTTTTGCTGGATGCGAGCAGGGGAGAGTCAGGAGAATTGTGTTTTAATGGATCGAATCACTAAAATTCCTGTGGCTTAGAAGCCGGTCAGTTCACAGCAAATTCTTTAAAGTGCTGTAGAGTAAACGATTTGTCTGGAAATCTTGAGTTTTTTATATAACAGGACATTTTTGTACCTGGAAATAGTCTTCCATCAACACAGGGCCTCTGCAGAGTTTACACTTTTGCTCTCCGTCATGTTCTGGCCTAAAATGCCACAGCCTCATACCAAGCCATTGGGGTGGAAAATTGTTTTAAAGGAACAGTATCCTCTCATCTCGTTGCACTCACTCTCAAAGCCCTGACGCTCACAGCATTCCAAACGCACAGCAGCAAAACGGTTCGAAAGTAGAAATTTTCCGTCTGATAGCAGAACCTAACTGCTTCACCGGGATCGTTAAAGAGTTTGTCAGCAGCTAAAGATGAAACGAGAGAATCTAGCTGCTTTGCTTTGCTTTGCTCAAGGGCCACGTGAGAGTGGAAACTGGGTAAAGATTTCAGAAAATTAGCTTTGTTTTTCTTCGCTGGCGGCCTGTGTTACTGACCTTCCCGGGCACTGGTCAGACAATACAGATCTTGATTATCCCCCCCTCCTCCCCCCACTCTCCACCAGCTCAGAATTTATTTATAGTTGCAAATGTCTGTCAAATTGCTCAAAACTAAAGGCAGGGATTTGGTCTCTTGTCAGGAACCACGAACAAACGTTACAAATTTAAAATTCTCCCACAAAATACACAGCCAAATCACTTTACAATATATCCTGTGAAGCGCTCCGAGACCACTCAACGACATGATAAGGCGGTAGATCAAATACAAAGCTTATTTGATGCAAGAAATACGTCCCAAATCCCTGACTGTCCAGCAACTTGGGACAACCTCTCGATGTGAAAGGTGCCAAACAAATGTAATTTTGTATTGTATTGAATTATTATTACAACCTGAGAGCACTCGGAGTGAGACTACAAGGAGACACCCCATCTCCCCAACTTCCCACCTTCCTGCTCAGTGGTTACACAGTGACCATTTAGCCACCTGGGAATTTTCCTCTTTAAACCTGTGCACTTACGCCAGTACGAGGACAGTTTACACCTATCCAGCGCCTTTCACAACCGGAGGACGTCTCAAAGCGCTTCACAGACTGACTGAGCCTGAAATGAGTGGTGGTGGTGGATGGGGGTCAAGGTGTTTCTTGCGTCATTAGACCTGGAAGGGGTGTTGCATTGTTGGATGTGCCATCCTTTGGATGAGCCATTAAATTGAGGTGCAGTCTGAGTTTTCAGATGGACGTTAAAAATCCTGCGGCACTATTCGAAAAGAGAAGGGGGCCCAGGGTTGGGGTGAGGGCGGGCAGAGAGGCAGGAGGGCGGCTGAAGGCACGGTCGAAAGGGAGGATCTTGAATCGTGCCTTGAAGGAAGCAAGGGAGGGAGCAAGGAGAAGGGATTGTGGGATGGAGTTCCAAAGGGTGGGGGGCAGAGAGGCTGAAAGCCCGGCCGCTGATGGTAGAGCGGGTCGGGCGGGAGATATGGAGCAGGCTGGAGCCTGGCTGAGCGGAGGGAACAAGACAGGTTGATCGGGAGTCAGCCTGTCCGCTCCGCTCCAAATTACATCTACAAAGTCACTGCACTTCACAATAAATCCTGCAAAGCGCTTTGAGAAGCCCTCTCGACGTGAAAGGTGTTTGTATGAATGTAAATTGTACGTTTGTTGTATTGCAGTAAAGTAACTGGTTTATAAGGTTTTATCGGGGACTTCCGCAGAAGTGTTTTTTTGGGGTGAATTGTACAAAATAATCCTGGCTTCAAAGTTTTTTTAAATTTTTTAAAAATACTTTATATATACTTTATATATATAGAAAAAAAGTAACATTTCCTTAAAAGGCTTCAATCTGTGCAAGAGACTCGCCATAAAGTCAGGGAGTGAGACTTGACATGCCTGAGAAACAAAGAAAAAGTCTTTACTACAGGGTGGGATGTGGGGGGTGTGGGAAAGATCCACTTAGTCAGAACTCTTAACATTAAACGCACAGAGACCTAAAACTGCTAACGCTCACAGCCCTTAAAATTGGGATTCGGAGGTTGAAGATTCTGGGTTCGACGGGTTTTATTTAATTCACTTTTTGTGGGTTTCTTTCACTTTCCTGCCAGGCTCGTGTGTGTGTGTGTGTGTGTGTGTTTGGAGAGAGCAAAAAAACAGAGTCAGCCCCTTCCCCCACTCCCCACCACTGGCTGCTGAATGTGCTTTGTGCAACACATTAACTTCAGTCCACAGTTGAAGGGCCATAATGGCACTTCTTTCCTCCAGCACTGGTTTCGAATTACATGAGCTGATCAGTGTGTAGGGTGCACCCCATGCTGTTACGTGCACTGCCACAGACCAACGGCTTTCACATCAGGGCTTGTTTACAAGGAGCTTTGTCCAGGCTCCAGTTAAGTAGAAGCAAACTTGCAACGGCTGTGATTTGCTCTTTCACAACTTTTAAAGCTTCTGCAACCACCAACCGTTGTTCCTTACAACTCCTTTGTATGTGTGTGTGTCTGTGTCTGTGTGCGTAAAAAAAACTTGAGCCTTCTGGTGTTTATCTGAACCTCCATCAAACCCGACTGAGTCAGTCAATAAGGTGACTGCCTAACCTTGCTCCGGTGCGGTGCAAGCTAACGGAATCAATAGGGAATGTGCATCAGAAAAGAATGGGAAAGGGAAATCACAGTGACAATCTGTGGATAAGGAAATCGGAGAGAGTTGCCTTCATTTCAAACTCACCACTTTATAGGTGAAGGTTGATGTTGAAGGCAGTGATTGACTGTCGAGTTACACTGCGCTGCCTGGGTTAGCACTCCAGATACTTTCCGGAATTAGGGCAGCAGGATTCATCTCTCCAGGGGGAGAGAGAGAGAGTGCGCATTCCATTCCAATAATCTATCTCTGGGATTTCCATGTGTGTAGGTGGGCTGCATGGAATTCTCAGTTTGGTTTGGATACTCTTAAGCGTCCGAGTTGTTCGGATCTGGAATGCATTGCCAGAAAGGCTGGTGGAAGCCGATTCGATAACAACTTTTAAGAGAGAAGTAGATAATCATCTGGGGAGGACAAGTTTGCAGGGCTATGGGGAAACTTTTCAAAGAGCCGAGGCAGACACGATGGGCTGAATGGCCTCCTTCTGTGCTGTATAATTCTACGATTCTATGATGCTTATGTCAGTCACTTGTCTGAACCCCCCCCCACACACACACAAAAAAAGCAAAAACACACACACACACACGAGTCTGGCAGCCAATACGCCCCAAAACTCTGGAACACTCTCCTTCAATCTCTCCTACAGTAACACATAATGGCTACACCTTACATTAAATCCTCGGAAATTCTTTGAGATGTCCTGATAGATATGAAAGGCGCTATTTCAATGCAAGGATTATTTTTCCGAAACAGAACATTTAAGGTTTAAAATAAAACAAACCACCTTTGGCGAGTGTGGGTAACAGTTGCTTTTTTGTCGTTAACGTTTAAGGTCTCCAATTGGTTCATCAACGCAAGGAGAAGACTGTTGCCCGACATGCTGAGGAAAGACGGCAAAGACCCTCATCAATTCACCATTTCTCGCAAGAGCAAGGCCTCGGAACTGGGCCTCTCACGAAGCCCGAGTGGAACAAGCCCGTCCGAGAACTCGGGGACGGGCAGCACCTCCCCCAGTTTATCTCCGTCCGTTCGGCCTTCTGTCATTTGTCACGCCACCACCAACGCAGCCAAGGATACGCCTGCAATCTCCTGCCCGGACTCTGGCAGCAACAACACCACCAACAGCAACAGCAGCAAGAAAACCTCAAAACTGACTGACCAAGAGCTGGTTGCCCCTCACTGCAAAACTAACACTACCACAGAGGCAACCGGTCCAGCCAACGGACTGTTCAACACACCGCCTCCCACTCCGCCAGAGCTCCACCAGGACTTCAGCGGCTTCCAGCTGCTGGTGGACGTGGCACTCCAGCGAGCGGCTGAACTGGAATCACAGAAACGCAACGTCAAAATCCAGTCTTAAACCCCACTGCGCGCGCGCGAGAGAGAGAGCGCAGTGGACGGCAGTAGAAACGTCGAGCGAAACCTTTCAGTTGGTTCCAGTCTGCGGACTGACTGACTGTCGAGCGACTGCGATCGTTTTTCATCACCCTCGTGAAATCCCTATTTGGAGAAATGACAATTTTTCCCCATTCGGACAGGAAGCTTGCAAAGTTTGCCCTCTTGAACTGGAAGTGAAAATCTGTTGTGATCGTCTGGTTGATCGGAGGGATTTTCCCCCCTCGCTGCCCCCTCTTCTGCCCCCCCCCCCCCTTCCCTACTCCTCTCTTACAGCAAAGGGTTCTGATGATTAGTTCCAGTGCTATTCTCAGAGCCTCCACTTGCACTCTGCAACGGCTGGGATTGCTGCGCAGTAAGAATTTCTAGCATAATAATAAATAATAAATGATAATTGCCCGCAAGCTATACATACATACGCAAGCTGCACTGGTCTCCCAAAAGCTGCAGAACGATCCGATTACGCGACGTGTTCGACCCACATTTGTGTCAGCTGGGGGTCAATACCGTCGCAGTCCTGCAAAAAGTTATTTTTTTTTGCAAAAAAAAAACCCACGATCTCATTTAACGCAGAGGTGAACAAACCATGAGGGGTAGCGTGAAAGCTCAGTGTGAAACAATGGGCACCTAAGACTGGAAAACCTCCTGCATGTTTTTGTAGGGCTTCAAAACTTGCAGAGCATTTGATAAGCGAGACAAATTCGTCAAAAATTATTTTTTCATTTGTATATAATGGATCTTTACTACTGAGCTGAAAAATTGCAACTTTGAATTGCGGTCCTGATAGAGATGAACTATAAAAGTGACAACTTCCCCTTGTAATCACTACTAAATAGATTTAAGATATACCAATGTGAAATTAAGCTCTGAGCTATTCATTTGTTACTTTATATATAAATACAGAGCTATTAAAAAGGCAAACTAATTCCTATTTGTTAGTTCTATCTGTGAATGTAGCCGTCCTTATTTCGACTTTTTTTTATATACTTTTCTTTTTAAAAAGTAGTATCGTTAAAGGTGATGTGAAACTTCCCTTTTAAAACAGAAGGGATGAGAACACTATGTGCGGGAGTTTGGGGTTTAAAATAATCAGTTCATTTTTGGCTTTAAGAACTCATTTCATAAATGGCTCTCAGTGCAGTCACATGCAAAGAAAATGCATCCTGACAACATGTCTAATGAAGGATCCTGAACAATTTGATTTATTCAGACAGATTTATATGTCACCTTTACATACCAAAGTACAAATTAATCCCCTGTATGTGGCGATGGTACATTGCAGGAATGGGACCGACACCAATAACTTGAATTGTCTTCCAGCAAGCCATTCCTGCAGGTTGTATTTAGCCTAATAGCAAAGTATGGGCTTGTGTTGGGGGAAGAAATATTTGGTTGGCAAACCATTTACAGTTGAACATCACAGCTCCAGAGCTTTGCTTCATACACTGGCCCATTGCCTGTAAATCTCACACATACACACACACCCACACACACAACCAAAATGTGTATCTGAGTTTCTATTGAAAACGTTCTATCAAAACTATTCACGTTTTAAAAAGCTTTACAAATCAGTTCAGTCAAGGGGTTAATGCAAAAGGGGCTTTGCAGATAGATCATCGTGTATATAAATGAGATAAATGCAAATGTGCCTTAAGACGCTATGTTTTGTTTTTCAAGGGACCACCTAACTCTTCAGTTTCAATCTGTGCAATACTTAAAGGAGTTCTTTTAACTCAACTCTCAGTCTTACAGGAACATTGATCACGTCTGTGAATTGTTTTTTTTTAATACCACTCTAATAAAGCTCTTGACATTTGGTAATTGAGAGTTCTGTAATTATTTAATATTGAACTAAACCAACGGACTAAGGATCAACGGGCGTTAGCAATTGCTATTTTTTTCCAGGGATGGCTTAATTGATGCCCGCACGCAAGCAACTTTGTCAGCCCCAGACTTTGTGACAGAGTCATACGATTTATCTTCAGAATGGCTGAGCAGTTATTGTTTTGAGATCTGTGCAACCGAATGACTCCCCAGGATGAAGGCTGTGAGTCGACAGTCAAACATCACTATATAACAGGACGTTTTCATGACCTGTACATGTTGCATACTATTGAACCAACAGCACTTCTCTGAAGTCAAAAGCTGTAATGCAACTCAGGCTATAATAGAACTGTAACTCTTGTTTGTTCCAAGCTGATTTTTGTTACCCTGATCAATATTACTCCTCTCTCCCTGCCCTTGGATTGATTTCCCCCACCTTATAGAAAAAAAATTGTTCACTCAATCCATGACTGTTTGTGGGACGCTGCTGTGCGCAATTGGCTTCCACATTTCGCCCACAAAATATACAATCAATTCATTTTACAATATATTCTATGAAAAGCTTGGAGACCTCTCAATGACATGATAAGGCACTACATCAAATGCAAGGATTCATATTATTATTAAGCACAGGCCTGAATAAGATGCATAATTCGAAACTTGCTTTTTTTATATAAAAAGACAACTGAAATTATCTCGGTCCATTTAAAAGTGCCAATGTAGTGGTTATTGTGTAGGGTGCCAATCAAATGTTTGTCAATGAAACACAGATTTCACTTCTACACATCGGGCTTCCAGTACTTTAATTCCTCTTTAAATTCCTTTCATAGAGACAGAGGCAGAATCTCATTGGATCTAAGTTACGCAAGAAGCAATAAATATGTGGGCATTTGATTCTACTCCAAACCTGCCTGCCGGAGGTTTATGTATTTTCTCTTGAGAGGAAGCATTGTCTGTAGGTTTTAAAGTGAGGGTGTGCTGCTGGCAAAGACTACCCAAGGCTAGGCTTTTGTCAGTCGTAATAAAATCTAAAGAGAGATAGTTGACACCACATATCAGTTAAACATCACGTCCTCTATAGAGGCCAAATTGCAGCAACAAAAATAATTTGCAATTACACAGGGCCTTTTATGTGGCTCACATTTTACAAAGGTGGGGTGCAAGTCCTAAATTTGGGTGGGGGGAGGTGGCAGTCAAAGATATAGGTCTTTAAAAAGCTTTTGAAAGCAAGAGTGAGAAGGATTTCAGAAGTGTTTCACACAGCAGGGGAAAAGATTCTGAAATATTGCCCACAAATGGTGGATCTGAGGTTTTTTTTTGAGTGGGGGGGTGTTGGGCGAAGAAGGGCAAGTATGAGGCTTAGGAAGCAGGGTTGCAGGAGATCGCAGAGATAGGGTGGGGCAAGGCAGTGGAGGCATTTTAAAGCAACAATAACCACGGCTACAAATGACATTCGTACGGAGCCTTTCACGTCGGGAGGACGTCCCAAGGCGCTGGACTGTCAGTGATATAGACCACGGCTAAGAGTCCGAAAAAGCAATCCACTGGGGGATAGGGAGCCGGGCGCAGATGGATCCTGCAGGCTCTGGAAGATCTGGATCTTGTGGAGTATGGAGCTGCGGAGGTCGGTCGGCAAGTCTGGAGGTGATGGAGACGTTGATCAGCGTTCGGGCTGCACTGGGGGGTGAGGTAGCTGGTGGCGGAGGCGTAGGATTACGTGGAGGCGGGAGAAAGTGATTCGATTTTGCGGGGAGCATCGAGTGCTCTGGGACGCTACCCTGGGCGAGGCGGGAGGGGGGCACTAATATAAATGCAAGTTGTTGTTGTTGCTGATGGATGGAAATGTCCCACTTGAAGACAATTTAAAGCAGTTTCGATGAATTTCATGTCACTCCCAGGCAGCCTGGCCTCAGAACAGTGCCCCCCAGTGGCGATTGGATGATACCGCAACAGTCCCCTTTTGAGCGTGGGACCTGCTAATTGCAGCAATGACAAAGCTATCCATCGATGTATGGCCTGAGAAACCCTGATCTCAGCTGCCCCTCTGGAGCGAAAGATAAGTCTATTCTGTGAAGCGCTTTGAGACGTCTAGAAGATGTGAAAAGCCGCTATATCAAATGCAAGGATTATTACTATAATAATAATAGGAATAATCCTTGCATTTGACAGAGCGCTTTTCACGTCTTCTCGACGTCTTCTCGACGTCTTAAAGCGCTTCACAGAATAGACTATAAAGTGAATTGACCGTATATTTGTGGGTGAAACGCGGCAGCCAATTGCGCACAGCAGCGTCCCACAAACAGTCGTGGATTGAAAATGACCAGTTTATTATTGTTTTGTTTTGGAGGGCTTATCATTAGGCTCTGTGTGGAGTAAGGAAACTTGCCCAAGGTTTCGCCCTCTGCCTGGAATTGATCCCAGGTGTCTTGCTTGCAAGGCGAGTGCTCTAACCAGTGAGCTACAGGTCTCCACATAATAGTATATAATAATAATAATATTATTCTAAAGAGATGCAGCTAGGTTTATAAGTGGTGAGTTTTTGTGTGCACACACACACACACACACACACACACAGGTTAATGTCCAGCTAGCGCACAGGTGCTGAGCTGTCCAGTTAGTGCTGTACCAGTTCAAGTGTCACTCACTCTCCTCCTTGGACAATATTAGCTCAGTGGTTAGAGCACTCGCTTTGCAAGCGAGAGACCTGAGTTCAATTCCAGGCAGAGGGCGAAACCTTGGGCAAGTTTCCTTACTTCACACACCTAATAATAATCCCTCCAAAAACCAAAAAAACAATAATAAATTGGTCATTTTCAATTTACGACTGTTTGTGGGACATTGCTGTGCGCAATTGGCTGCCGCGTTCGCCCACAAATATAGTCAATTCACTTTACAGTGTGTTCTGTGAAGCGCTTTGGGACGTCCTCCCGACGTGAAAAGCGCTATATCAAATGCAAGGATTATTATTATTATTATTATTACAGCAAATTGGTGTCAACTGCAATCTACCGCAGCTCTAGGGCATAATACATTATTTCAGGGTTATCCCACAATGAATAACTTATCCCAAGTTATTCATCATAAAAAGGGCATTTGTGTTTGATTTTGAAAGTTCAACTAACTCAGTGACATCTGCTACAACTACTTTTTTGGGGGAAAAAAAACAACGTGGACACAGCACAATGTGCAGGTTTGCCCCCAGGCGACATTGCTCACCACCAGAACGGTGTCAAATAAACCTTGGTGGTTAATGTATTAAGACAGAGGGTGCAAGTTGGAAAACCGAACAGTTCTTTGCAGTGGATTTGGGCCAAACACCCACTGAACCTTTGTTCCAGTCTCTGCCTGCATGTCTGTCTGTTGTCTGTCTGTCTGTTCTGTCTGTCTGTAAGAGCAAATCCAGAGTGAATCATAGTGAATCACTACTTTGTGAGCCATCCAGGATTGAAACACAGCTCAGAAGTGAAACGCCTCTGCCAAAAAACTTCCCACCACCAATAATATCCCTTTACAATCAGAAATGCACAAAATCACACGCCTGCAAATATGAAGTGCTGAACTGAGCCAGTTGCACCTTCCCAATAACCAGCTAGTCTGTCCTTATAAGAAACTGTGACATCCATTTAGCTTTTTGAATCACTTCTCTGTTCACTGGAGAATGTGCTTTTTTTTTTCATCGCAACGTATATCGAGGAACAAAGCCACAACCGCCTCGCATAAGAAATAACTGGAGATTAGCACCACAGCAAAAAAAAAAGAAACCCGCGAATGCACTGGTCAACAAATCGTGCATTTAAAATTTACACTTTTTTTTTGCTTTGTGTTTGTGTGAGTTTTTTTTGCCACCCCCCCCCAAAAAAAAATAGAGCAAGATGTGTGTTCTCCACTGGCTAATTATTGTAGTAAATGCAGTAACTTACCTGGTTTGAAAGGTGATGCTTTAATAAGATTGCTTGCGTTAGAGACTGGGCTGCCTTTTTCTCTCTCTCTCTCTCCTGTTGTATCTGGCAAGTGACTGGAGTGAGACAGCGCCCATGTGCCACATTCTCTGTACACAGGTCGCCGCTGTTCAGCCACAGTGTGTGCTGGCTTTGGATATACAGATCCCAAGAGGCTCCAAGCACTTTAAATAATAGTGAAAGTCGCATAAGTCTGATCTGTATAAATCATATCATTGGCCCAAGTCATTGCATCCGCCTCAAACGAAAAAACAGAAGTTGCCGGGAATGCTCAGCGAGTCAGGCAGCATCTATGGAGAGAGGAAAGCGAGTCGACATTTCGGGTCCATGACCCTTCGTCAGTGACTTGTTTTTGTTTCAGATTTCCAGCAACTGCACTATTTTGCGTTTTGCTTATTATACATCTGCCTAAATCCCGCTCGAGAGTTTATATTCTATGCACGTCCCGCGCCTTGGGACGTCCTCCCGACATGAAAGGCTTTATACAAATGTAATTTTGTTGTTTGCCACAATTCATACTTTGCGTAAGTCGTATTAAATGTAAGGGTCTCAACTGATACGATGACTTAGGTGAGGTTTACTGTACCCCCTTTCACCACAAACAGGAGCCTGTTGCATTGCAGCCAGCGAATAAAGAGGGACAGACTGCACAAAAACACAAATCTGTCTGACCTTTTGTATCTGTATTCTCCAAATATCAAACATTTCAATTGCATAGTTTACAGAATGGCGGCCCTAATTTATTGAAATTTGGGGGTTTGCACATCATTTTGCATGAGTTGTTTTCCCGCTCCACAGGATAAGAGATTCATACGATTTCAGACTTGAAATTAGCCACTGCAGTAATCAGCAAATTATTCCAGTTTATTAGATTTTTAATGAAACCAGGAGCAGAAAATAGTTTGAACACACTTAACAGAGGCATAGAGGGAAACTGTAACAACCTGGCATAAGAGATAGAAGCAAACAATGAAAATAGGTGAGAATTGTCTTGAGCTATTTAAGAAAAAAGGAAAAATATACAGACAACTAAATGGTTAAACCAAATATAGGCAAAAGTTGATAGTAATGAAATTGGATACGTTTAAATGATTAATTCTGTACTTAATTTAATGGCATCATTCAAAATTATCCCAAATATAAGTTTTACCATAGAATTTCTGCAGTAAAAGCATGACCAGTATCCACAAAGCAAGCGGTTGATGGTATTTCACTGCAAAGACTTGCTAATGTGCAATTTATATTGCACCTTGATATTTTAGGGGACCAGTCAAAGCAGTGAATTCAATTCATATTTGTTCAATAAGATGAGATCAGGCCATCAGTGTGCGTGTGTGTGGTGGGGAGAATCGTGGGGGATTCATTTTTTTTGTAACACTTTCATGAAGGGGAATTTTAAAATAATGTGGTGTGTCAATGTTTGGTTATGAGTAAATACCAACACTGAACCAATCACTGAAAGCTTTTATTTGATGTACAACTAACCATTAGAATTTCTCCCTTTTTTAAAAAAAATCCACATTTACACCATCACTTTCTAACCCAAGAATGATTAGTTAGAGCAGTTCTAACACTCCTTGTTGCTCGCGGGTAAAAAAAAAACTAAAGTTTTGGAACAGGCTGATACGCCTACCAATTGGTTCAGTTCCCACTGAACAGCTTTCGATGCAACATTTGAGCAGTGGCTTCTGCATGCATCAGTACACCCTTGAGGCTGGACACCTTTTGATTTTGAACATATGAAATCACCAACATAAGAACTGGCAAAAGTGCAAATGCTGGTGAACTGAACCCCTGCCAGTGCCACAGTAGCCATAACAAAGCCGCAATCTGGTCAATAACATGGCACAATTGTAGGCTGTGCTAAAATATGCTTCTCGATCAGCTCAGATTTATAGAAATGTTCGCAATGATACAGGATTCCAGCTTCTCTGTTGTCAATAAGCAAAATGCTACTTTTCTCTAGAGATGGTCATTTCATGCTCCTAATAGTTTTATGGGTAGACATTTGAAATATATTGTGGTATTCAATATTGAGATATTAAAGTGTGCTGCAAACAACTGGAACAGACAGCTAATGCACAGCATTTGATCAATAGTAATAAACTTTTCATTAAAAATCAATTTGGAGCAATCATGTTAGCCCTTATGCTTATTTTTTTGAAAAGTCCTTGTTCTAAATACCTCGCCCAATGTGCACAGCAGAACACTTCAAAAAAGCTTGTGTACTGCGAATAAGTGGTAATAGTGTCGACTTAATTTCATGACAAGGTCAGCCCTACTTGTAGTGGTGATTGCCGTGAAAAATAAAGTGCTTAAGCGAAACATACTGCAATCTAAAATGAATAAGGATCGCATCTCGTTACAAAGTCTATAAATTAACAAGCCATTTCTTTGGCTTATTTACAAATCAAATGGAGAAATTTGGTAAAAAGGTAAATCAGAAATGAAAAAACACATTTTATAGCACCCGACCACGTCAAAACATCTTCCAGCGCTTCACGGGTAATTGGTGTGAAGTGTACGGACGATTTTGTAGGCAAACACAGCAGTTTGCGCACAGCAAGATGTCAAGACGACGAGACGACTGACCAATGAATCTTGGAGAATTAGAAACTCCATTCTCTTTAAACCCTTTTGTGGGATATTTAAGGCTTACCTGGACATACAGCTCTCAGGTGGCAATTTGTTGGGTCAGGGTATCAAGGGAAATGTGGGAATGGTAGGTAATTGGAGTTGAGGTACAGATCAGCCAGGATCTTACATAATGGAGGAACAGGCCTGAGCGGCTGAATGACCTACTCCTGTTCCTATGTTGTAGGTACTTTTTAATTAGCATGCAAATCTCATTTGAACCATTCCTGTCCTTTGGTGCGATAGAAATTCACCAGGTCCTAACCATCAGTTTATACAAGCATCATGAGCCTCCTTTTTTTGCTGACCGCGCACGTGTGTGGGTGAGGAGGTTAAAGAGAAAGATGATAAAGTATACAGTTCGGGATGGGAAATTAAACGCATTTTTTTTTTTACAATCAACATGACAACTCCTACAAAAATATAAATTTTGCCTCAGGGAAGGGTGGTGATGTTCGATGTGCTGGTAAATGTAGTGCACTTTTGCCAATGTGCACAGGTAGTGGGATTTCTCATTGTAACCCCAAATCACCAAATGCACTAAAACGACAGCCACACAAGCATCACCCCTAAAAATGCCAAAAATGATACATCTTTGGAACACTTACACATTCATGAAACATTGCACACACGTTTGTTTAGAGAAAAATAAAATGACTACAGATCGCAAAGGTTTTTCCTTTCATATTTTTCAAGTCAGTAAAATCATTAAATATTTCATGTGAGAATATACAGAGCATACACCAGGTTTCTTGAAAAGACTGTGAGCTATTTGCTGGTCTATTCAGACATTCAAAGAGATAAACCTACAAAATGTTTTGTGCAAGTGAGGGGATGTCAATGCTGGCAATTGGAATGTTTCTTCCTTTGAGTAACCAACAGCAGCATCAAGCAATTTCAAGTCAGGTTGTGTAAAGTTCCTTCTGTTTAAGCCTGATCTGGGACAGGCACTCCCCACTACAGCAATGTACATTTTTCTTTCTCTTGGTGATCACATCTCCTTGTTGGATCTTCAGCACTACTTGCTCTTGGCACCTTTGCTCTGACAAACAGTAGTAACACCAAAAGCCAGATACTAGACACTATCCAGGGCATTTTCTTTTAATGCAATTGCTTCACTGCTTCATAAAGAGTGCATATTGTCATTTGCCACACAATCCAGTTTTTGCATCACTGCTTGGTTTCAGGAATAAGACTAAATTGCATGGCTTGAATTTAAGAATCTCTCTAAAACAGTCAAATTAGACCAACAAACAGAATAGCATCTCACACTAATATGTTAGATTTGTCGTAGGATTGAGGCATTCTTCAGAGTTTTGTTTTTACAAACTGCAATTTTTTATACTTTAAATATATAATGTTACCAATATACCTTTTAAGAGTACACAGGGCAAAATGAAAGCAAGAGTACTTTGTATTGTCACAATGATTATTTAAGGAACACTCAATGTATTGGTTCAGTTCAGGAAGATGCGAGTTGATGCAAGTTTCTACTGCACTACCATAAATTCACAATAACAGCAGAATATTTAACAGAAGCAGTAAAATAAGGGCTATAAGTTCTGTAAATGACAAGACCTGGCCAAGATGGTACAAACATTGAGTTAGGGTTAAAGAGAAATAATTGCACTAGTTAAAATATGTGCAAATGGATAAGGGTTTAGTCAGGTCACACATGGGACTTTAACAAGACAGTGAAATTATGGTGCTCGATACACATTTCAGCTGAAAGGTATCAGCCCTAGAAGACGAGCTGTTTCAAAAAGGCAGAAGACTGAAGGTGTGGTGGCCTTCAAACCTTTTCTTTATGAGAAATAAAAAGATTTTCTTTCAAACATTCCACAAACAAAGATGACCGTTCAGTGATGGGATTCTAAAACAGTATGACACAGGAACAAATCTCATACATGTCCGATTGACCAAGATCTCATCTCATCGTGGTCAAACCTGTACAAAAACTGCAGATAATCAATTTCTCGTGCAGCAGTCAACAGAATGAGCAAACAGTTCAAAGCAGTCAGCTCAGGTTTACCACAGTTGCAATATAGTTGAACAATATTTTATTGGTCATTTCCTGTGCTACAAAATCCTACGCTCATGGGATTTAAACAAGTTGAAGCAAATGTTGGCATTTTGACTGTTGAAAAGGTAATTCTTTTAAAAAGGAAAAGTTTTCAACGAGGAGGAAACAAAATGAAAGGGGCAAGGACGTGCATTATGCAACAAATTATGCAACCTTCTAGACAACACAAAGAACATCAGAGGGTGGAGTGTGGACACGGAGTAACAAAAGCCACCGATATAAAGTATATTTGGACAAAAGCTATTAATTAGGTAGTGCTTATTTCACATTTCTTATGAATGTTCACCAATTGTTTTTGAACAGTACACATTCACCTAACAGGTTTCTTTCTTACATCAATCCAAATTTATGGTTTATCTCCATAATTTAATTTCCATTTGTATGCTTAAAATCTTAACTACCGTACGTATCTACATATAAACAGCCATTTTAAGCTATCGCTAGGATCAGGAAGTAATAACAAATGAAACAATGTTAAAAGTACTCACTGCAAAATCCAAGATCCACATCCTAAAAGATTCTAACGAAAGTTCCATTTTAATTGTTTTTGTATGTGCTTGTTTTCATAAAATGGTTCCATGATTGTGAATTACGTTGTTTTTTGTGTGTTGCTTATGTACATTTTGGAAAAAACATGAGACAGGTAAATGCTCTATTGCTTTGTTCTACTGAATGTTTGAGGAGTTTCACATCATTTTACACCAGCACTCTAAATTTACAGAGCAAATGGAAGCATATTCTGAGAAACTGTAGTTTCTACAGATGACTCATGAGAATACATTTCTTAGAAGAAAAGTAAGAAACCAAATAAAATTGAGCTCAGAAGTAAAACCAATCTTAAGTTCAGTTGGTTAAAGAAACTTGAGCTTCCTTCAAATAGTCAGCAATCGAAGTAACAAATATTTTGTACTTCATCTAATTTTCTTGTATATGCTAGAAAAACACGGTTTACTATTAATAGGCATGACAATGGTACAAAGCAATTAATTTACTGTACAGAAAGATTGACGTGAGGTTATGGCTAAGACAAAGCCATGCAAATGATGAGAAGCATGGCAACCAATGAACACATTGCTGATGAGATACAAGACAAGTTGTAGAAAGAATGACTAAATCTGGCGTTCACTGTCAATGCCATAATTACTAACAAACATTGCATTCTAGTATCTGATACTTAAATGTTGCTTGTAGAACAGCGGAGGCCACAGAAGTTTTAAAGTTGGCCCAAAATGTATACAAAAGATCAATTCACAGCCGCGTCTGTGCCTCAGGTACGTATATCTCAATACTGTCTGCACTCTCTGTTGCTGAGTTCTGTCGTACAGATGCAGCGCGTTTGGCAGCCATCAGTCGTTTGCGAGCTTCCTGGCGCTGTTTGTCTGCTGAATCGGTCAGTTTCTCACGATTTACAGGAGGCTTAGTCTTTGCTGGTTTCTTTGGCACTGGAGGGGGCAACTTTTTCTCTTCCTTTGTGAAAAAGAAACACATGTTAAGAATTGAAAACTTTCAACTGCAAAAGGCTCTCTCCACAATTAAATCATGCACCAATCTTCCCGGGACTACTGTTTAATGATGCTATTTGTGGTTTGATATCCATTTATATTCTGTGTTTGCTGTTGACATCATAAACACCAGCCACATATTCATCACATAAAAGGAGCGGTGACCTGAGAGTCTGTAGCACCGGGCACCAGTTTGTGATTAACAGACGTCATTCCTGCTTGCAGGGCAAACAAAAGCCGCAGACCAAAGTTAGAAGCAACAAGTAAAAACAGGCTGAGAAGCTGAAAATAATGAATTGTAAGTGGGGAACTTTTCCAGTCAAAAGATTGGTCGGTTTAAGATCTTTCATCAACACGTAGTTCTGGTAGCTTTCCCAAACACTGAGGAAACCGCTGCATAGGTACGCAGAATAAAACCACCTTACATCGAAAGGAGTGGAAGCCATTCTGGTGGTGGCAGAATGTTTGCTTGCACCGTCTTCTTCCCTGGTTGATGCTAAACCAATTTGTAAATATTTTGAAGTGACTTTTGAAGTATTTTGTGGGCAAATGTATTTTGTGCGCAAGTGTATTTTGTGTAGGATCAGCTGCAGGACTGGAACAGACCACCTTTTGGCAAGCAATGCTGTAATATACAAAACAAGAAAATCCAACATATACTTTGTAATCTTAACTGTCTGGTCACAAGTCAAAGAAAATCATAACCGCGTATGTAGATTCTAGATGCCAAATGTTTGAAACCTGGATTTTGTTTCAATGAATAAGACAGTTAGGACACTTTCTGCAGCTGAATAAACTTAAGAGAGTTTAAACAGGCTGATAAAGGATTAACATTTTCACATTAAAAAAATGTTTTCTAGATGGATAAACCCAGGTGTTGAAGAAATACCATTTGGTAGCACTGAGCTGAATAGAAAGGACAGTGGCACCTCAGCTAAGAATTAGCATTTGCACTGCTGGGATAGGGAAATGGAAAATATGAACCAGTGCTCCAATTTCCAGTCAATGACTCATATGGGATGACTACAAAGACAAGATCCGATGACTGTAATGCCATCGCTCAGTAACCATTGTGTAATAATAATGCTCACATTTGATATAGCATCTTTCACGCCCCAAGGACGTCTCAAAGTGCTTCACAGGGTAAGAGTGAAGTGACTGTACTTTGTGGGCAAATGTATTTTGTGTAGGATCATACATGAAAAATATCACATACCTCTATCTGGTGAATTGGAGTAGCATTGATAGAGGCCCGAGAGCAGCTTGACTGCATGCTCTCGATCACAGGATGTGCATGCCGTGCTCACACTGGCAGGTTCATACTGTACTTTTGGCACAGCACTGGTGCCAAAGTTGCACTTTATGGCTGCATAAGAAAGAATGATGTCAGAAGCAACAGTTTTTGAGGAAAGCTCTCAAGACCAAAATAGTTTGGTGGGGGGGAGGGGGGAGGAACAGGAGTGATGTGACTTCACTCATCCTGTTGGCTTGTGTTCAACACCCAAGGTACACTCTCACTGCCCTTGTGAATTTCAGTAATTTCTTAGCAGCACTGAAATAACAATAGTAGAACCCTGTTCTAAACACTTCATTATAACACAGGTTCAATTACTTACCCATTTACTAATCCAAAATGCACACGCCAGCTCCATCGACGCTTCAAAACACTGCCCAGCAAGGGGAAAGTCAAAATGGCTGACTTCAGGGTCAACGAGTCACGTACTGGAAGTGATGCCATTGGTAATTTGATGACCCCAGAAGTCGGATACTTTAGCTTTCCACCACAAGTATTTTGAAGAACCGATGGGAGTCGGCCCTCTCTATTGTGAGCAGGTGCAGTATGAGCTGACCTGCAATCTCACCCCAGTTGGGAATTAGCTGGGAATATATGGACCTGAATTACTGCGTTATAACAACGTTCGATCACATAACGCAAACTTACTAGCATATGAGTATCATTTCCAAATACACACAATGTGAATGAATGAAGTTTTTTTTAAGATGCTTCAGCAAGTATAGCACATAAATGAGTCAAATTTTAAAAGCGACCAAAAATGTAGAACTGGAGACAAGCACTTGTGCACCCACACCAAGGAACATTTGTGCATAACCAAAATTTGGTTATTGATTAACCACAAATGTAACATTTGGCAATGTTATGTGGGAATTAATGCCAAAAGAGGTTACCCATAATTCAGTGTTTAAAATACAATTCTATTGTGCTGAGTTTACAGGCCAGGCTTTACTGGAACATAAACAAAGAGGTGTTGTTTCTATGTGTTTTAAGTTAGAAACCTAGTATGAAGAAAGAAAGCCTCATAAAACTTGGTGAAAGCCTAGCATTGCATTTTCTAAAGCTGACATTCAAGTACAGAATGCTTATAGACACAAGTTTCAGTCTAAATTATTTCAAAATGCAAGATTGGGGAGTAGAAAACCGCTTAGATAATTTGGTGGGGGGGAAAAAAAAATCAAAGATTTGTCTATTGATCGGGATGAGATCCAAGAGCAAACTATAACAGCCACAAAAAAAATTAGGCAGTGAACTAAAATTTTAAATAAATTGAAATAAAGTGAAAGGTGTTTATGATTTTGACTTTGACCTTTCTCGAAGAAGTGTAATCAATTGGGTTAGCATTAAAAATCCTGTAATGATTTACATTAAAAATAAATAATAATAAAACAATAATAAATCGGTCATTTTCAATCTACGACTGTTTGTGGGACATTGCTGTGCGCAATTGGCTGCCGCGTTTGCCCACATATATAGAGTCAATTCACTTTACAGTGTGTTCTGTGAAGCGCTTTGGGACGTCCTCCCGACGTGAAAAGCGCTATATCAAATGCAAGGATTATTATTATTATTATTATTACAGGAGCCATCTGAAGTTGTGATAAAACTGAAGCAGCCAGAGTACTGCGTCTCATTCTGTGGACAATGTCAATTGTCCTTTGTCATTTCACCCAAGCAGTCATTCTTCATGGGTGAGCTCAAACAGTGAAGGACATCCAGCTATTCAGAGTTTGTTTTTGCTTTTTTTTAAACTTGAGTGCAATCCTGCCTTCGTGGGCAGAGTTATCTCGTCCAACATTTTTCCACATTCTTCCTCCAAGTGGAACAGCAATTCATTACTGATGGCAAAATCAATTTAGAAAATAATTTACATGTAAGCTTACCATCATAGGAGCTTCTTCCCTCTTGAACTCAGTGGATCAACTGCGGAAAAACAGATTTAAGAGTGTGCATGGAGATCTCTTCAGTGTGGACATCATCACACAGTGCAGAACAGACCTCCATACACACTCTAACCCAATCAACAAATCCTACAGACTGTATAGTTATGTGGCCTTTCATCTGCTGCAATCAAAAAGATAGCACAGAAGTCAAAGCTGAATCTGCAAATGTCACCAACAAATTCGGTCTCTGCATTAACTAGGCAAACATTTTCAGAATTTCTAAACACTGCAGCTGGAATGTGATTTCATTTTCAAGAGTCCAGTTTGAAAATGTTATCTTGAAAAAGTACATTTACAGTGTGTAGGACTAGAGGATAGTGCAACAACGAAACCCTGATTATTTGCCATAATGACAAGTTCATGCAGGAATTACTGAAAGTGTTATTTGATCAAGGATATGCCGTAAAATGGGAGGCAGAAGCTGAGATTAGCTACATTCCCAATTATGCCAGATAATCAAGGTTCCACTGTATATTTTGTTATCCACTGAGCAATCAGGAAGTTCTAAGCTTTAACTCGGCAAGATTTGGGAACGGATACTTAAGTTTGCTATGGAAGTGATGCAATGTAACACTTATTTTTCAGCGCCTTGGGTTGTCCTCCTGATGTGAAAGACGCTCTAAAAATGTAATTTTGTTGTTGTACAAGTTGAATCAGACTTTATTTTACAACTCTTAAATTTTAAAGCTGTAGGGAGCCTCAAGTTTCGACCATTAGCTCTCCCAACATTGAATATCCTTTGCATTGCTTTAGAATAATTTCTGGACATTTATTAAAACCATCAATAAAGTTATACTGAACCATGGAGCTTTCCTCCACCCCCACAAATTAAAGCTTAAAGCTATTTTACACCAGTATAGAAATGCTATTAAAGTTCTCAAAGGGTTAGTATTCATAACTATTAGTTTCAACCAAAAGTAGATAAAACTGCAAGTTACCTTCTTTTCTGGCATTTCAACAATTCTCCACTCATTTGTCTTCAGGTGATAAAGTTCATCAAACTTCATACTGATGTCTTCAATGGAAAGCTGCAGCATATCCCAAAAGCCAGCTAGATCTTGTGCAGTGGGTCGTGGGTTTGTATTTTGATTCTAGAGAGTAAAATCAATAATAGAATTAACTGAAACGTAAAACTTATTTCTCGTCTTGCTTCCTTCCCTTAAACTTGTCAGATAGCTTTTTTTTAAATAGGTGCTTGTGTTAGACTTCACCTGTCAAGTGCCTATCCTCCTACAAAAAAAAAATCACCCCTTTGTGGCCACCTTCAAAAGCATATTTTTTTCTTAAGCAAGTTAATTTTGGTGTCAAACTAACTACAGTGCATAGCTTCACACAATGCTTTTTAGTGTTCTATTTTAGTTTGCTGAAGTCAGCGAAAGAGCAGGAAATTCTGTGGGCAACTTCACGAGTGCATTGACCTTGGTTATAAAGTTACCATTGTTTTGTTTATCACAAGACATCAGCTCTCTGAACTGCCTTAAATCTCTTTAAAGCTGTCTGAAACCACCCAATTGTACCAATCCAATAGGAAACTCCTTGTTTACAGATAACAATTTCAAAGTAGGAAGATGCATAAATCACAGAGATCCACCTATGGTCAAACGATGTAAACTGGTGGGATCAGTAAGAATAATAATCCTTGCACTTGATATAGAGCCTTATCACACCTTCGAGACATCCCAAAGTGCTTCACAGAATATACAACAACAACTTAGGTTTATATAGCGCCCTCCACGCTGGATGGTGTCTGAGCGCTTTGCAGTAACGGATCCTGGGATCGAGCCAGGGGGAGGGGGAGGAAGGTGACCAAAGGCGCGGTCAAAAGGTCTTCAGCAGAGACCTGAAAATGGGAAGGGAGTCGTGTATATTGTATAGTGTATATTGATACTGTAGTGAATTGACATTACAGTCAATTGACATTACAGTCAATTCACAATTACTGAAATTAAATTGGCTATTGCTATTAGCTCAAATGTATTGCTGAACATAAGCACTCACCAGGTTTTGCTCACAGAGGCCATGGAATTGCTGGAATTTCTGAGACATCAAAAGCTGTGCACTTCCAACTGCACTCCGAATTTTTCCTAGGACTAAAGAAAAGGATGGTTACGCACATGAATCATAAGGTTATAAGGTTTTGATCTGGACAAGAAGCCCAAAAGGAAAAAAAAGATTTGTACTAGAACTTAACAAATCAATATCCAAATTGAAGAGCTCTGGGACCCTACCTGCATGAAGGGTGCTATATAAATGCAAGTTATTGTTTAGAATATTTGTAATCACTCTAGTGAATCATTAGTCAAAAAAACAAATCCAATTGATATCTGCACAGTTATCCAGTGCTTTGCAGCTGAAATCTGAACATTATAGGCCACTTAATCCTACAGTTCAAAATTCGTCTCCAAACCAAGGCATTTCACTTTTCCTAGCTTGAGTTTTCTCCTCTAGAATTTCACCCTACAAGCAGGAAGTGTAAACTGGGAACCAAGGCACATGCAACATTTAACTCTCCAGTTGGGGAAATGATTCAACTAATCTTAGTGAAATGCCAGTGACTATAAGGCAAACTGTAAGAATTTTCCACAATCCTCAAAATAAACATTGAAAAGTATTCAGGCTCAAAACACAACAATTATTTGATCTTGCAACATACTAAGGACTTCTATGATGCAGCAAAACAACAATAATTGTAACAGTATACCTTCTTCAGACAGAGTATTTTCTTTGGTTTCTGTCTCTATTTGATGACACCATCCTTCCATTCTTTCTTTTTCTGCTTGTAACAGTTTCAAGAACGAATAGCCATCCCGACGACAGGAAGTTGCCTGCACTGGCTCCACAGGCAGGTTATTTGTAGATTCTAACCAAGGTTCAGGTGGCGGTAAAGAAGATGGGTCTAGAGCTGGGTCCAAATTGTCTCCATAAGCAAAAGCTTTATTTTTTGTCTGGGAACCTTTTGCATGCTGTCGTGAAGCAGGTTCGGGGTTCAAAGCATTGTGATGCTGCGAAGAGTCTGAAAATTTATTAATTTTGTCCTGGGATCCAGCGGTTGAATTCCCACACTCTTGCGCAGCAGAATCAATCTCTTGTTTTGACATCATGCTGCTAGAGCGGCCAGTCCTGTTCAAATAATGAGAAGTTAGATTTAGTTAAGTTGTCTTTTAACATTAGTTAATTATAAGGTTTGCCTTTGAATAAATAAAAAGGAACCATAAAAGTGACATTATCTTTATAACAAAACGTTGATTGAAATCATGGTGTAAAAAACAGTCAAAAATGTGCAATGTCATTTCAGATAAGTGAAAGTTTTGCAATGTAAATTACCAATCTGGCCTTTAAAATTGCTTTTCTCACCTCACTTTTACAAAGTTTAATTTTATGCACTTAGAAAAATCACAGAAATAATAATCATAAGCATACTCTTGTACAATATGCTAAAATAGTTGCAGCTAGAATCCTTTTTGTGTGATCCTATTTGAAAACTTGCAGTGAACTCACAATAGAGGGAAACAACCAGAGCCAACACACTATAGCAAGTGGAGCCAAATCCACCTGGAATGCATTCAAGATAGAATGTTCTGGAATTACAAAGGTCCTGGGAGCAACTGCCTGGGCAGAATATGGAGAAAATAAACCAATTAAAGCTGTTCATGTGACAATTATTTTTACTCACTGCCACTCGGTCTCTACTTGTATTCCAATCGACTGGAACTTGTTGATGAGTTGAGTGTCTTCTTCCTTGATCACACTCTGCTGCATACAGTCAACCTAGAGAAAGGAAACAAGTTACCACTTCCACTCTTACCATTTTGTCCATTTCAAAAGATGTGTAAAAAAAATTACCAATAGTTTTCAGAACTAGTATAAACATTATCAATATAGTTCCATGCACGCATTCATAACATTGAGGCTTGACTATGCAAAGTCATTGCCTGTCGGCCTCCCCAACTATTCCCTCCATTGGCTGCAGATCATCCAGAACTCTGCAGTCTGTGTGCTCTCCCACACCAGGCTCCATGACCCTATCAGCCCCATCCTTGCCCGACTCCACTGGCTTCCCATCACTCTGAGGATACAGTTCAAAATAATAATAATAATCCTTGCATTTGATATAGCGCTTTTCACGTCGGGAGGACGTCCCAAAGCGCTTCACAGAACACACTGTAAAGTGAATTGACTGTATATTTGTGGGCGAACGCAGCAGCCAATTGCACACAGCAATGTCCCACAAACAGTCGTAGATTGAAAATGACCAATTTATTATTGTTTTTGGTTTTGGAGGGATTATTATTAGGCTCTGTGTGGAGTAAGGAAACTTGCCCAAGGTTTCGCCCTCTGCCTGGAATTGAACTCAGGTCTGTCGCTTGCAAAGCGAGTGCTCTAACCACTGAGCTACAGGACTCCGAGATCCTGGTCCTCACCTTCAAAATGCTCCGTGGCCTTGCTCCCCGCTACCTCTGCGACCTCCAAACCCCTACCAACCTTCCTGCACCTTCCGCTCAGCAGGCTCCGGCCTGCTTCGCGTTCCCTGCCTCGCCCGCCCGACCATTGACGGGCACTTCTGCCACTCTGTTCCTACTCTCGGGAACTCCCATCCCACAGTCCCTCCGCCTCGCCCCCTCCCTTGTCTCCTTCAAGACCCTCTTTAACCGTGCTTTTGATCACCCTGCTCCCCCACCCTGCCCTCCACACTCCCCAATCCCGACCCCCAGCTCGGGTCCGAAACACTGACTGTCGAGCGCCTTGGGATATCCTCCTGGCGTGAAAGGTGCTATGCAAATGTAATTTTGTTGTTATTGTACGTTTTAACAGGACACTAATCAAATTGTTGGGATTATAGTTAGCTTTAAGTTTTCTCGCTATTATGTTTTGAATATTTTGATACAACTTTAAATGACCTACAACTAAACTTTATGTACTGGCCTAGATTCAAATATACTTTTTAAATCAAGCACATTACCTGGGGGCTATAACGTAAAATGGTGATGTATTGCATTTGCATTACTACTTGAAAAGTTGTATTGTTCTTTTAATTGTTTTCTTCTGCAATAAAATTTGTTAATCAGAAGAATCACAAGACTGAGTTTGTTAAATTGTTCCGCACAATTACTTTAATTTGGCAAAATTTTCAGCAGACACTTACCTGTATTCCTATGGAAGAAAGCTTTCTTTTGGGGGGAGGTTCCGCCTTTGGTTCCTCAGGAGGGAGTGTTGCTTTCTCACTCGTCACTGTGGCATTTCGATGTTGGTTTTCCAATTGTTCACGAACTGGGGCATTAAGGCTTCCTGGCTTGGTTGTGTTCAGCGCCCTGGCACTATCCAGGCTGTCTGAAGAATTACTGCGACCAGACTGGCTGTTTATATCACTCTTATGATCCTGATTATCAAGGTATGTATCTTGGGCTGATTCCGTGCTGCTCTGGACTGTAACGGATATAAACGGTTTAGACGTGGTCCGTGGTGGAACTGGCGGTGGGGTCTTCTTATAAGTGGTTATACACGATGACACTGGGCAGGGAAAGAAAAACAAGTTGTAAGTTAGTGCATCATCAGAGAAGCCATTCTTTCTTTTGGAGTATTCCACAATTCCTATTACCACAAAATGTTCTTGATTATTGTTAAGCAAAAACTGCTGTTCTTAAAATAACGTTTCACATTGTGGTATGGAGTGCCACACTCTTGAATAATTTTAGATCAAGTTAACACTGTTTCTCCAATTGATTTTGCTGTCAAGAATTTCAGTACAGTAAAATTCAGTCTTTACAGTATGTTCAGTCATCACATCTCAGTGATGAGCAAGAAAATAATTCTAGTTAAACAGAAACATTACTGATTGGTAGGAGCTATATTATAAATCTTTCAAAACACTAATATCGCATAGACAACTTTTTGCATGAATTCAAACAAAGAAATAATTCTATTGAATTTGTCAGTTTTGAGACACTTTTGGTGTAGTAGCATGAAGAAACTACAAGGTACTTCTTTGGCTAGAAAGCACTAAAGACACAAGAATTAATTGATTTACCAAACTTGCTGCTAAATTCACTACCTTATTAAAAAGCACTCAGGTAGCTCAAGTGTATGTGAACAACTTTGTTATGCTTTAAGGAAGATTTATTATGCATACACGTTTGTGCTACATTCACATGCCAGCACTGTTTATTGAACTTAAATCATATATTCTAACAGTTCTCTTAACTGCCTGCCAAAATTCACTCTATAGCAGCCAGTTTGTCATCTTTCAGCAGGGATTCCCTTAGGCTTAAATGATACAGCAATGATTAACATTTCAGATCTTTGATCGACAGTACAACCAGAAAGACAAAGCATCATTTTGAAAATAAAACAGACTGAACAAATGCTTCCACTACTGAAACAAGTTTGTAAAAGACGAGAGTCAAAATGCAATTCGACCTGAAGATTTGATTAATGTAAAATAAAGCCAACACAAGATGTAGTACAGTACACGTGCTTCACTGAATAACTGTACCAAGCAGATTATCCGAATGTGAAAAGTAGCATAAATCTTCCAGGAATTATGAATGCAAGCAAGCACACTGTAATAATGTCCTACAGTGCCTTTAAACAATTACTGAAATGAGTAAAATTGACGTACATTGCGCACACTTATGTATACACATATTTTGTAAAGACTTACAGCAACTATCGTACTTGTACACAGATGCAGTAGACAAGACTACAGTTAACATTTTGCCCAGCCACACACTTGAGGAATTTCCATTGCTTCATAGAAATTCAGCATCTTTAACCTTTTCCCATCCGAAGTGTTCAAAGAAGCAGTTTCCATGTTTCAGCTTCAGTTGCACTAAACAGATTGCGCTCAGATTCCTGAGCATGTTCCTTTTATCATGTAATAAGATGATGAAACTGGTGCAAGCTTAACACTACATTAAATACTGTTCTATGCTTGAAAATACACCAAATCAAATTCTAGTAAGTCTTTTAGGATCAACTCCTTGCCATGTATAATTGTAGAACAGTTTATTTATTGTTAAACCTCTGTTTAATTGTACCCAAATTCTCTATGTATCATCCTGAATCATACAAGAAACAGAATTTTTCACATTATATCATAGCAGTGCAATGCAAAACAGACTAAATTGCATGCACAAGCACAGAGCAGTCCAGTAGCCATAATTTGCATTATTTTATACCTACATCATAATGCAAATGCACATTTTTAAAGAAAATCAAGAACTGATGGGTCAGGTAATATTCCAGTATTGAAATGGTAAAACACTCCCAACTATTCTTATACAAAACAACTTGCTATTTCACACTGGAGCATTTTGGCACGGTTTGCTGAATGGAATTAAGCTTAGTGTGTAAAGGACTTCAGTGAAGAAAAAATAAGATTAAGGACAGAATTTAAAACAAAATCCAAAGAGGAATAAAGGGAAAACAAAGAAGTTCAAAAGAATAGCGATGGAGTGAGGGAGAGAAAAAGCAACCTTGTCTTCACTTTCAAAACCTCAAATCCCCATGCTACGTATGTACCCTCTGCATTTCTGCTACCATGAACGGGGTTTTGCACTGCAGCTTCCATAAAATACTACAGTGAATCACAGACAAGTTTCTTACCAGCAGACTCAGAATAGTTCCTCTTCAGCACAAAGCTTGTGGTCGGATTTATATCTGTGTGTAAAATGAAAATTTTTTAGGTAGCTAATTTCAGGGGCAGGTGTAATTTGGAATCGCACACCAGTATCCCTGGCTGGATACAAAAAAAATTCAAATATTGCACCCAATTATGGGTTAATTGCAAAACAGGTGAACAGCCCCCTTGATATAGATTTATTACATAATTGTGCCATCACTAAATTCAAGACAATATAGGCTTGAATTTTTCCAATGAAATTCCTTGAGACGAGCAATAAATCTACACTAATTTACCTCAAATTATCTTATTTTGCAGGTAAACTCACCAATATTTCTGTTGAAAATATCAATTGTGCCCAACAAGTGTACTGAACTGCTTGCTCTCTTGATTTTTGTAAAATCAAACAGTAAGTAGCAACTATTTCTAGGAGCTGAACAGCCCTTAAGCTTCAGTCAGTAAACTTAATTATATTCACTTTCTAAAAATAAACACTAGTGCATAATTTTGGTATTGCGACAAGTCAGCAATATGATAAATTAACTGGCCAAAACCAAGTCCTTCACCCAAGACAATAAATGAACAACCACTGGTTTGTTTTGTATGCAAGATACAGAAAAATCTTGGCATTGTACCTCCTTGATGCCTTTTGTAGGCAACCCAGCCTACATTCTACAGTGTGAAAAATTTCTAAGCACATTCCTCTGACTAACTTTCTGTCTACAAAGCACAATTGTAACAAAGATCTGGCACACATTTTATGGGCTGAAAATACCTCGCTTATCATATCTACCATTCCTGGACAAGCAAGCACACACAAGGCACTTTATTCAATGTTTTTTTTTAAAAAGTCCTCCAGATGAAAAAGGGCTGATTTTTAATATTATTACACCATTTTAACTGTAACTAAATGCTAAGACATGCACATTCCCCTGTGTTTGTTGGAGTGATTCAGAGCAGGAAACTGGTCTCGTACTCCAAGCCAAGGAGAACTCTGTACATGTACAAACGCCACTAACCACTGCCCAACACCAATAGTGTGCAACCAACTATCACCATAAAAAACTATAAGATCTAACTAATGGTCTATTAATAGCAGTCAATGGCAACAATTAGATTCTGCAGGTTCAAATTAAATTGACACCCCTAAACTAGAATCAGTGCCTTGGGACTCTCTCCTGGCATGAAAGAAGCTAAATAATGCAATTTGACTTTATGTTACAATTTTAGCACTGATTCAAGAAACTACAAAAATGACCATTTTTTGAACTTCAAAATGAATTTTAAAAGTGTCAATCCTACATGACGTTCATTTTCTAAAAGAATTTGAAGGAGAGGACATTTCTTTTACTGAAATTCCAACAGAGTTTAAGCTAATTTCATTTTGTTGCTCACAAATTCAAAATTGCAACATCTGAATCATTCCTAGCTTCCTTTTCTTGCCACCTCCCCTCAATAATCCTTTTCTTGAAGATAGAAGTTGCTGCAGAATGGATCCACATGTGCTGGTAGTCTTCAAGAACTTTGCCCATGTGTTCATTCTTCATGGGAGCCTAGGCAATGAAAGGGCAGGTCGGTTTAGGGCTTTTACCTTGATCTGGATGACCAGGGATGCTGTACTCTGGAAGTAGGGATAAAGTCAGCGGTACATGTCTTGAATATGATACAAGTGTTTATGGAGTCAAGCGATCTAGATTGGCACCCACCTTCCCACTACGGAGGCGTTACTGAGGCAAGATCAAAGACGACTTTTAATGCAAAGCCTCATATTTCGCTCTCCTCCAAAACAATTTATACAGCAGCCAGATGGACTTGAAGTGCCACTAAATAAGATTTGAAATTAAGTGCACCTAAACTATAGTATGTCAATGAACAAAATTTGTCTGTGTAGACAGTGCACAAAATCAGAGTCAGCCCACTATATATTGAGATCTATTTAAGATGTGAAAATCTTAATGTGAAGATCTATTTACATGTGAAAACGGTTAATGGGTTGTTAGTAGAGGAAATATACCCAACTTAATTAAAATATCTAACTTAAGTAGTTTAGGTGAGAGGAAAAATCTCTACGATAGATACACCATCTATACTTGAGGCTGCATAAAATCAAACTTTCCTATTGGCATAATTTTACCATTTCTCAAATCTTCAGGAACACCCAAGAACTACAAAAACCAAATTCAAACAAATATGTAAGCAAATTATTTTGAAAACCTGTATCCCCCTTGTCCCTTGATCCTGACATTGAGGTTTTTTATGTCAAGGGAATATCAGGGCTTCCATCCAACCAAAGCACTGGAAACTAGTTAAACCTTTGGTTACAGAAGGTAATAAAGTAGGATAATTGTACTTTTTTTTAATATCACATATATATGGATTTATGTGCATCCTCTTATATTTTTTTCAATTGAAAAACAATCAACACCAAAGGGCTGTAAAATAAGATTGATAATATCAGTTTTCTCATAGAGTGAAAATGTGTCTTTCAATGCAATTCTGTCTCTTTTTAAAATACAGATATACACACTAAATTAAATCCAAATCATTGTAATTGTCATCAATCACTCCTCTGGAATACATGATTCCAAAGCAAATGATGTCTCAAAGCAAATCCAAACTGCTTTTAAATGGCATTTCATTCATTGGAAGCATTTGACTGAAGATAACATTCTTTAATACGTCAACACTGATTACCCATGATACATTATACCTTTGCAGTCTTTTTAAACCATTATAAATCTGTCACATTAGAGTTTTCCACATTACTCACATTTTGATTGAATTTCTCAAAACAATAATGAACTTTTACACAATTGATATTCCCTCTACAAAGGGTTTTAAACAAAAGTTTCATGCAAGTCAACCTGTGTGTCTTCAGAGGCAGAAAATT